CTTCTGTTGCACGATCTAATTAATAGTATATGTGCTCAGTCCAAGATACCAGACTTTCTCGAATATATCATATAAGGAAATTATTAAAACAGTTCACTATTATGTAATGCAGATAAGCATATACAAACTATAACACGCTTGTACAGTTAAAAACGTGACTTGGGAACAGTTTCTAGCCATAAATATTTGCTGCAGTCGCACCGGCTTCACCCCCTCTCACTCCCATCTCTAATGGTAAAAAGACAAAATACTAATCTGAGAACTTCAAAATGTTTAAAGTGTGTTGGTTTCCAGACTGTCATCGTGTGTGTTTTGGAGCAATGTTTAATTTGCTTTGCGTCAATCCTGCACCAGCTCATTTTACTGAATATTTCAAATTTAGATTGATTTGTGCTTGGATAAGACTGAATAAATCCATAGGTTTTAAATACTCAATTCATTGTCGACCGCTATTCACCCAATGCAGAAGCATGCTAAACTCTGCAAGAATTAGAAAAGAACAGTCTGCTGCATGGATGTTTCAGGAGTTTACAATTTCGTCGACAGAAATAATGTTGTGAGGTAGTCGCATAATCTAAATGATTCTGTTTTGAAGCTGGTCATATATTTCAAGATTCTCGCCACGATACTTGTATTACATCACGAATATGTCCAGAAGAAATATTTGAAAAGTGAGGGATTGAGATCAGCTCTCCATTCGATCATTCAAATACTTACAGATCAGACAAACGAACGCTCCTGGCTAAATACGCTTTTATACAAATAATTATTTACTGTTCTCTTCAACCAATTTAGCAAATAATTCCAGATTAACTACGTGTTCTTAAAAATATATCGTTTTGGATTGTGGTTAAATTATTTCTAAAAACATTTAACTAGAACCAGAAAGACATGTTAGACTCGATAAGAATCAAAAAGAAAACCGTGTTGTTCATTTTTAAAAAAAAAGAGACAAACTAGACTGCAGTATCACTGTACTGACTAGCCTATAGGCGTGGTTTCGACCCCTGCGCGCAAACGAATTATTGAAATAAAATTCAAACCATATGTTAGTCTCGAAATCATCTAGTTTGTGTCGATTGGACGTTAAACCCCATTTCTCTCTCGATCTTTCTCTGACTATACTATAGAACACGGTTAACAAAATAATGTTGACCCTAGGTTTTATCCACAACTTCTCTTTATTAGCACTTGGTCTATTGCGGGTTTTTTGACAGATGCTTACTGATCGAAATGGAATAAATTCTCTAGAAAGGATCAACTCCCACCCTCGATCGTAACACACGGCACTACGTTTATGGAAGTATGATGAACTAAATTGTCTGCAAAATATCTATAGCCAGACAATCTCTTGTCAATAAACATCCTAGGAAATGGTACTGTATAAGTTTGTCTAAAATTTGGATTCCGCATACAACTGTATGTGTTATAGTTTATTGTCTGGGATAGAGGTTACCCTTGGCGACAAAATATTAATATTATATTGGTTTCTTTTTGGATATAAATAAACAGAACCGACAAAATTAAATTATGGCCTGATGTTCCAATGTTATAAATGCAAAATAGTTCGAAAATTATATTATTTAGATTATTCATATTTTAAGACCTTGTGGGACAGGCACTGTAACCCACCACCTTTTGGTCATTTAAGTGAGTTGTTGAGTCGTAACTCAATTCCCAGTCATTTCGATTGACATTTTCAGTTTGTTGGTGTTTAAACTTTGTGTATTAGCTTTGTTTAAATTTACATTGTATGCGCTGTATGCATACAATGTGTGTTCTAAGGGCAGGTTTAATTCGGTTGTATTGAATGTAATCTAGATCGATCCTAGGCAAATAAATTTAAACTAAATGGTATATATCGATACATTTTAAAAATAAAAGATCCATAAAACCAAACCAAATTTTAAAAAATGTAAAATAAAAAGTATTATTGTCTTCAATCGAAGAAAATATCCGTAACAATCTTCTACTATCCTTATTAGCCAGCTTTTATACCCAATTAACACCATTCTGATTTTTACTTGACAACAGTCATCAATGTTTCCGACGTAACCCTAATCTTTCACTGTTACCTATATAAATCGTTCTGTGAAAACATTACATATTATCACACATTTCAGATTCCGCACAATTCTCTGTGTCACGTATATTCCTCGGAACCAGTGGCCATTCGTCACTTGTTTACAATTGAGAAGTTCATTTCGAGAAAGCTAAACTATTCAATCAGGACTTTGTTTTTTTTTTCTTGTAAAGGTAAACAATATTGTTTGGAGTAGACCTAAATCCACAAGCCATCCCTGTTGTATCTAGATGGTTGTAATACATACTGGCCTTTCTTTATTACTTACACGTATGGGTTATTTTAATCCAAGAAAACAAACAAAAGTTGACAATTCTTCGCTTCATTGTTTGTTTCAAGTTTATTTGTGTTAACAACTGTCTTAGATTGAAAATTTACTTGTTGCAGTTATTTGTACACAAAAGCACCAGAAACCGTTATAAATATGCCACATTCTGGTGCGCATGACAATATTGTAGCTTCGTGAAGATTGGTTAATCTTAACTGGTCGTGACAGCGTAACAGTTTCCAATAGTTGGGACGATATCCAGCTAATAGGACAAGGTAGAGGGTTGTCTAAAACGTGCCGAACTCTGAACTAAGCCCTTTTAAAACTTTGGTCAACCGAGAAATGTCGTTATGGTGCTAGCCTAAAGTTAAAGAGATTGGCGTTACAGTAACAATAGCTAAGAATAATAATTATTTGAGTGGTAAGTCGTCTAATTTAAATTTATTTGTAAACTTTGTTTCTTCGTTCTGTTAATAGTTTTCACGTCCAATGTACATTTTTTTTTAATCTTGAGCCTGTTGGAAGACGGAAATTTTAATAGTTTTTGTTCAGCACTTGTTATGTCTTGTTTCATTCTGGAAGCATGTTTTTATTATAGATATGTTTCGTTTTGAGCTAATTTAGAAGGGTTTGAACATTTTCTCAGCATGGCATATCAGTTAAGCTCAAAATTGAATTGAGCATTTACACATTTTAAATTTTTCTGTGTGATTTTTGGTATGAACATGTTAATTTGATATGAATTGCATTTGCTTTAAATGTGCATGGGCTTGAGCGTTATAAGTAAATCATTACAAATGCGTTTAAAATTTCACGCGAGGAACACATCTTTGAGTGTTTCCGAAAATAGTGGACATGCTGCAGGTTAATAATGGTGAGTTATATTAATGTAGTACCTATATGTAGTAATATGTAATGGCTGGAAGGTGGCGGGAAAATTGATGTTGTATCCATGTTAGTGTAAGTACTGGTATTTTATTTAAGACATGTTGGTAAGACGAACCTATTATAAGATGTTTATGCTATGAATGGTTCTGATGCATGTTTTATTAGGACGACTACGGTGATAGTAGCCTATATAAGGTTGGGCTATAATCACAAGCTTTGTATGTTCGGTAAAATTAGAATTATTATTTCTGATTATCAATTTTGTTGTGGTGTTTTCCTACATCATATAAATGATAAAATGACAATTTCATGTTGACACTTTAAATCATGAAAACGGACATGTGTCAGTGTACTATGAGGTATATTGTCCACCTTCTCTTCATCTAATTCCAATTGTAAAGTGTTCTTTTACGTGTCCGTCAACGCTTACAATGGCGAACCTCTGGTTTTCCGGAAGACTAGAAACTTTTCCTCACCAGGTCCCACGTCACTACGACTGAAAAGGCGAAAGCAGACTGCAAAATCCAGAGGAACGCTATCGGCCAACACAAGATGAAGATAGCATGCTCTCTACAGCGTTCAATTTATAGTTTTAACTAAGCTGAAACAATGTAATTTTCCAAAGCAATATGTTGATTATTATAAAAAAGTTATGATTACATCGTATATTCTAAATCCAACAATGAAAGGTTTGGATTGAAGAAGAGCTTAGAATTTCACAGTAGAGCGTATATATATACAATATAACGGCTTGTCTGCTCGTGGTACAACAATTCGAATTGATATTTAAAATGATAAAACCGATTATCGAAATATGGTTTAATGATAAAACTGATCAATGAGTTATTGTTTAATGATGAAACTTATCAGTAATGTAGTAATTGTTTAATGATAAAACTGATCACTTAGTTATTGTTTAATGATAAAACTGATAACCGAGTTTATGTTTAATGATATAACTGATTATCGAATTATAATTGTTTAATGATAAAACTGATCACCGAATTATTGATTAATAATAAACGTGATTATCAAGTTATTGTTTGATGATCAAACCGATCACTGAGTTATTGTTTAATGATAAAAGTGATTATCGAGTTATTATTTAATGATATAAAGCTGATCACTAAGTTATTGTTTTATGATAAAAACCGATCACTAACTAAGTTATTGTTTGGTTAGAGAAAGGTAGTTAGAATTATTTTCAGTTTAAGACCCACGTAAGTTGACTGAATGTTTTACCTTTAAAGCCTTTGCTTTGAATGTGCGATGCTTTCGATATTAGATAAATTTAATTATACGATTTTATTATCGTAAGGCTATGTTCAAAGTTTTGTGTTAATTTTTTTTTAAAAATTGCTCTTTTGAATTCAGTTGAAGAATTATAGATTTAAATACGCATGTTAAATCTTTTCCTTTTGGCAATAAAACAAGCGCTTAAAGGTTTTTTCTATATATATATTAATGTTGTGGCTTTAGTGTTTATTAGAGTAGTACTTTATTTTTTAGAATTTAAATTAATTCGGGTAAGTGAGAAGTATGAGGTAACTAATAGTATATCCCCGTCATTGAAAGTCCTGCGGGATGTGATTTCATCACGGAGTTCCTTAAGATGGTATTTTTAAGTTCGTTTTTACGTTCTGACAAGAAAAGTTATAAATTAAAATTAACGTAAGTAAAAGAAGAATTTGACGTCTCTTCCCAAATAAAAAGGATATTTTTACTAGATGTTTGTCGTCACTGAAAAGTTTGCATTAATTCATCTGTAATTATCTGAAACTTTTTGTTGTTGTTTTTCTTTTTCTTTCTCCTTAAAACATCACAAAAGAAGCTTCGTTAAGAAAATGATTATTCCCATGAATGTCAGTCTTTGCTCTACATTTGGTCAAATTTTGAATACAGTAATCAATTGTTGTTTGGCAAAAACTCATAGATCAACTAATTGGCAGAAACTCAAAGACGAATTAATTTCGTACGTTAAGGGACATTACTGGGCTGTGGCTGGCATGCATACTTATTTTTGTCTTTTTGATCTATTTTTAGCATAGAAAACTGCATGGATAAAAATATCATGTTCGGGGCTCTTGTACTTCACATTGTTTATACATTATGTAAAGACATTTGAAATTTGCCAAACCTCACTTTTTTATGCCCTTTGCTCTTCGTCGTCGTCATCCCCCGCCCTCCATTAAACATATATATGACCTTTTGGGGGTCTATGAATTTGGTCTAGGGCCATGGTCATGAAGTCAAAATTATTATTATTTTTTTAACAGAATCATCGGAGTGCAGAGTTCACATTACACTTAATGTCATGTCTTTTATTTTGTGTAAAAGATCTAATGATGATTAAAATGTGGGCATCCATTCTAAAGGCGGACCGAAGCTTAGAAAAAACCAAACTGCAATGTTTGTCACGTTATAGAGATGAAGGATCAGATACAAATTCGCGATTTCATGGAATAGGAAAAATTATTCTAAACGTTAATATCTATATTCCCATTTCAGTGAAGGGTATTTTAATTGAAAGTCTAAATTTAATTTGTATCGTCCTGTAGAATCCCAGATATTGAGGAATGGCACTCTTAAAATGAAAAATTTGGGTATTATATACCCAAATTAAAGAAAATTAAAAAGAAATAAATATGACGATACTGTTCTAAAGATTTAATTTCATACTTAATAAAATATTTGTCTGGTGAAAAAAATGACTTCATCGAGAATTGGTTCGCGTGTTGGCCATTTCTTCTCATCAGCTTAAATACCTTAATTCATTAAACAACTCCATTTAATCCATATCCGTGTGTCTCGTCAAATTCTGGCAATAATTAGAATAGAGGAATTCCGCGTGTTTTGGATCGTTTGTTTTCATGTTTTTGGCTTCATTCAACCAAGGTGATCGTCTAATCCTCGCTGAGCCAACGCTTCAAATGTATCCCTTTATATAATTGGCATGCACCGTGAGATGGTAAAGGGTTAAACATTTCTACAAAAAACCCAGTGAGATTTGTTGATGAGATAGTGGGACTTATTATGTCGCCAATATCAATTGAATAACCGGTTGTTTCTCACGTAAAGGGGTCGGGGGATCAATATTACCTTATTCTCTATACATCAGACCAATGAAGAGATTTGGCAAGACCACATATAAAACTCAAACAATCTATTTACCCTTTTTAAGCTCTTAAAGGAAATAAAAATTGATCCGTAAGACATTTTATTCCTTCTTTATCCAAATATCCTTTCTTTCCCTCTATCAATAGATCCTAATTTTTAAAATATTTGTTTTGTTTAAATCTGGTAATGTCTTGTCTGTATAAAATTAATTAATAGATGTTTTCGGTTAATTCTTTAATTCGTTTTGTATACAATAGGGGGCAATGTTTCTCATTATCTAATGTTAGTCTGATTCATTCAACTTCTTAGATTTTATTGTCGCTTTTTCCCAAAGAAGAAACATCGTGGCAGGAGTCTTGCGTCAATGAAAACATTTATTCTTTATAAAACTATGAATTGTTTTCGGCTTTGTACGCAATCGAGGTGAGATTTCATCGTCTTGGACACGTCTTTATATAGACCATTATAGAAAACAGTCATCCTTAGATTCGTAATCATGTGCTGATTAAAAATTAGTTTTGTTTAAAGATCACATGTTTATGACGTTCCTTCTCAAAAAAAAATTATAAAAAGATTGTTTTTTTGGTTGCCTGATATACGTAAATTATTTACATAATGTTATAAACATTCCTCACTTGGGTCCTAATCCAATCTATAATAGGCTATAACAAACCAACGACTCGTAACAGATTTATTACTTGTTATATTATTGGTCAGTATATTTATTATAGTTCTTAACGATGTACTCTGTTGATAATCATTCTGTTTAGACGTGATCTTATATACAATACATCAATGTATTTGGTTAAAATGTGACGAAAATACACATTTAGCTAGTATTTGAATATACGTTTTGAAGGTTTGTAGATATAATATAAAGGTTATACTGTATTGTATTTATAATGTCTTATTTTACATAGCTATACATATAATGTTAAGTAATAATTTTGTACTTTATTTAGTTATTGATATAAAAGCTTTATAGCGATATAAGTATAATTTACTACATGCAATGCGTGCAGTATGAAAGATTATACTTATATCACGATGATACGTAGCTGGGAGTACAAGGGCTCTCTCTCCTATTACCGAGGTAAGCTTTCAGGTAACAACTGTTAAATTTAAATGGATTTAACTGCGAATTTGATTGATATAATATATCCTTATTTAAGGTAAGTTAAATTTTATTTGTATTTTTACTATATTTCCGAGAAACTCTTTGTAGAAAGTGTCGATTCGTGACAACGAAGACTCAGCGATTTCAAGCAATACACTTCTGAAATTTCACCATCCCATATGAGTGACATGAAAGGATTTGTTTTTAATTTCAAGGAAAATTGCTTAACGCATCTGAAAAAGGATTGAGTTAAAAGGCACGTTTAATCTGGTAGTGTAGGTTAACGTTTACAGGAAATTAAAACCCCTAAGGATAATAAAATATCCAAACAGAGAATCTGATCTACACAGATATATAAACAATGTATTGAATATCACAGATGTTTGTCTGGACCTGTTTCAAAATGCACTAGTTGCTATATAACTTTAATGAATTTACGCGTACTTACCTTTACGTTGAAACATACACATGTTCTTTAAATTCAGTTCACTTTAAGGTAGGTAAAATTATAACCATGGAAAGGAAAGTCGTTGGATTATTTTAGTAAACATAGTATCTCGATAAATCTTGTTTAAATAATTTAAATTTCTAATGTTTTACTAATCTTATCAACCTATTTGTGAGCAGGATATGATATCAGATGTTGGATTATTTACATATATATATTCTTTTTAAATTGAAATATAACTCTTTGTCTTTTGACACTTCAATTTCACTATATAGATCAAATAATAGCGCAGAGACAGGCCATATATCATTGTCTTTAAAAAAAGTTAATTACAATTTTTTTTTTCAAAAGTGGAATGCACGAATTATTAAAAGATACCTTATCGAATTTCTTTGCAATTTCCACTCACGAAATGATCAAATTTACAAAAGAAATAATCATTTCAGGTTAGCTAGGAATTAACGGCACCATGTTGAAGGTGACGACTCCAATACAACTACCAAACCTTAAAAGCTTACGCACCAATGAAAGTACAGTTTACAGATATGGCCCAAAAGCTGTTATTACTGGTGACGATGAAATAATCATTCCTAATATGGGCACATTCTACCGCTCCCCATATAATGGTAGAATAAGATGTAAGAGAGTTTCGAAGCATCCCAGAATTCTTACAGAAGATGACAAGAAAGCACTTCCGGTCATTTCGTGCAACACAGAAACAATAGATTTCAGAAAGTGTAACAAAACAAGCATCGGGAATTCAGAGGGCTCAGATACTAACTCTGAAATTTCATCTAGTAACTCGTCTAGCAATTCGTCCGGACTTCGTGGAATTCTCACTAAAAAGTGTGAGAAAACCACAGAAAAAAAGCCTGGGAAAAGAGTGAAATTTCACGAACAACTCGAAAACGTTAGAGAACTGCATGACGTAACAACAAGTAAGTTTCAGTATTACCCTCCACATCAGTTAACTGTGAAACCTAAACAACCGGTGTGTAGAAAACCATCCCCTCGAGCCACCTCTAGTGACAGTGATCTGCTGGCAATAAAAAGACAACACTATGACATTGAACGCCATTCCATATCATACAGTGATTTTGAGAACTCATCTACAACTAATGTATCCCGTAGCTCCCAAAATTCAACGCGGTCTGGAAGCAAATCGAGTCGCACAGTTTTCAAATCACCGTTACGACATTCACAAAAACAGACGACACCTAGAAATGACTATTACTATTCTTCACGATCGGATGTACGGTGCTACCCTGGCGACGTGAAACTACGTGCGGCAAAACCTATTCGACCACAAACTGTGATGTCCGTCTATTCCCCCAAAATTCTCCAAAACCCATCGGGGCAAAAGTTCGTTGTGTGTCGGTATGCTTTGCCTAGCGATGATGTGTCTGTGACTTCCTTTCCATCACAATCTTGCGAATATCCGATGAAAGTCAAGCATAAATTCAAACAGATTCTTCCCGAGAGAATTGGAACAATGGGGATGTGTACAAGGAACTTCTGTAATCGTGATAAAGCCACTCGTATCATGAGATGGCTGGATTCTGTGGACGATGTTCAGACAAAGGAAGGTCGATATGCTGAACTCTTTGATACGGTTTTTCACGTGGACAGGAATGGTTGAACAACTGTAAACTACTTATCGTCTATGATTTTTTAGTCGTTCAAAGCTTGTGTTATCGGTTCTATAGTGAAGGGTCGTCGCGAAACCACCTTGTGATAAATTGTGAAATTGGGTTTAACGTCCTATTTTTCTGCACCAACTCGGGTAATGAAGACGGGCATTCTCCATGTTGTGTGCTAGAGATGGAAGTTTTGATCGGACAGCGACTTTTCCGTCCACTGCCAGTCGAATTCCAACTGTCAACGGTTCTTTTATATGCCCTTCAAAGAGTACATGTAAGGACCTCGGTTTTCGTCCAATGTAATGAACCAGGCCATTTTGAAAAGATAGAAAGATTCTCCATCTTATCGTCGACGTGGAATAATAGACAGTTCTTAAGACATTGTGTGTGGATGAGACTTGCATTACTAGCCCACTTTGTTCTACATCTTTCTGAGTATTACTTTCGTTAGTGGAATCAAAGGAACCTGTAGTGCATGCTGTGTTAGCTTTAGTCGTAATAATCTAAAACAAACGTTGGCCTAAACGTATTACAATGCTACGGCCAAAAAGCAACAAGTTTAGCCTGGGATTTTTTTTTAACAAAGAAGTTTATGGAATTATATGGATGAATTAGTATAGTGAAAGAGGTTTTATTAGACTCGTTGGATTAGAAACTTTGGAAAACCGACCCGTTATAGGTAAAGATTATTATTACATGAATGAATAATAACTGTTAGGTAACCGAAAGAACCCGTGAACTACTGCTCCCTATATAATAGTATGTTATCGTTAAATTGGATTATTTCATCAAAGGATTGTCATCAGTGTATATAAATAAGCTTCCTTTTTATTTTATTGACTTTCACGGTGACCTATCGACCTTCATTGCATGACATATAATCCTATGTAAAATATTATGTATGTTGAATAAATATTTTTAAAAATCCACAAAGAATATAAAATGTAAATATACAGTTGTCATAGTAAGAAAGACAGGAGAACTATGATTTGGATGAAAACTAAAAGTTTCGATATGCTTGTATACAAATGTTTAGATATATACAAGTACACCTTGGTCAGTGTTGACACTTGATATATAAAGAATAAACGAAACTAATATACGTTAACCAATCGACTTCCGCTTACGCGGAATTTGATCTTGTAGGGCTTGCTTTATTACTAATCGTATAAAGTCTGCCTCGCTAATATTAGAAATAACACACCAGATAAACCAATTGCAAATTCAATAACATATTTGGACCTAAATCATAGAGGTTTATTCCTGTAATAATAGAATAGTGTCAGAATGCTGCAATGTGGCACCGTTTGTCATAAAAATAGACCCATTGTGAAGACTTTTGACTATCTTAATAAAAAAAAAATAAGTATGACATGCATTCTTTCACCTATATCAAAGAAGATATATCATAGAGGTTTATTCCTGTAATAAAAGGATAGTGTCATCAGAATGCTGCAGGTGGCAACGTTAGTCATAAAAATAGACCTATTACGAAGACTGTAAACTATCTTGAGCAAACAGAGCATGATATGCATTCTTCCACCTTATCTTCTAGTCCTACATGCTGCTTCTAAAACGTCACGGTTGAACAACACCATAATCTCCTTTCCCCCATCTTGATTTCTTCTTGTTTAAGACTACACAGTTCGAGAGATCTGAAATCAGAAGCATATATCAGGAAAGTCTCTTACCCCGTAATTTGGTCAGATTTTGAAAATTTCTCTTTACCAATAAGTAACAACTGAAAGTTTCCTGATCTCGGAATAATGTGATTAGGTGACAGGTTACGGCCGGATATTCTACTAGACCGATTTAAAAAGAAAAAAAACCTACCGAGATAAGGTTGCGGCAGATATTCTACTAGACAGATTTAAAAGAAAAAAAACCTACCAAGATAAGGTTGCGGCCAGATATTCTAATAGACAGATTTAAAAGAAAAAGAACTATTGAGATAAGGTTGCGACCAGATATTCTGCTAGACCGATTTAAAAAGAAATGACTACCGAGATCCTATCCTATATTGATTTAATTGCATTGTAATTCCAGCAATAATTCTATTTCTTTGTTAAAAAAGGTGAGTCTAACAACAAGATGCATCTAAAGGGCTAGGGAACAATATATTTTCACCTATACACTGCATGACTTAAAAGTACATAAATGGCTTTGTATTTACTTTGTCACTAAAGTATCGTTGTAAATTTCCTAAAGTGTTCATTTTTTCGGGTAACCTATAAACTAACTTGTGAACATTGAGACTTGTTCTGTTTCCCTGGCTCTATGTATAATTATTGATCACAGGTACACGATTATAAATTCTAGCGACTTTTGTTTTAAAGTGACAATCTCTCGATTAAATCAACAATGGGGAAAATAAATTTGCCATGTCGTCAAGTCTAAATATTTAATCCAAATACATGTATACACCAAGTCAACAGTAAGTCTTGAACATCTAGTCCATATGTCTGATGCCAACAAGGAAACTTATTATAATGGTTACCGGTTAACTTAAACCAATAGCCCTCATAGAAATATTTTCCTGTACTATTGACATGCACGAAATACCACATTCTTTAATACGACTATTATACTAATGATACGTTGATTAATTGTATAATTAATGGATATCGTATAATTAGCCGCAGTACGCCATCGTGTGTTTTCCTTAGTTTTTGTTACCGAATAGATTCTATCAGTACAACCCATATGGATTTTTTTAAAAAAAAAACATCAAAGAAAAATTGAGAATTCGCAATTAAAGTCGAGCATCAAAATGAATTTCACTCAGATCTTATATCTGATACTCATGTACAGGGCCTTAAATAGCTCGGAGCAACGAGGGGGGGGGGGGCGGGAGTGTTCTCAGGGGTGCTGCAAAATTGACAGACAATGTATATCTATTTTTTTATGTTCGACAATTTTTTCATGTATGCATCACCATGCTCCCAAATATAAAGGAAATTTTGGACACACTTTGTGTTTTTTCTCCTCATGTGATGTGCAACTTCTTCTTCTATAAGTGTTTAACGTCCGCTTCCACCGAGAGTGATATCGCAGTCAAATTGTCTTAATTTATTATGCATGGGTCTTTCCTGTGGGAGGAAATCGGAGTACCCGGACTAAACCCACATACGCTCACACCAGGGATCGAAACCACGACCGTAAGCCAGAGGTGACCGGCCAGTTAGAGCTCGAAGCGCGAAACTCCAGCACACTAAATAAGCCATCACAACCACCTCGATGTCCAACTTGAGTGAACACTCATTTATACATATCACCGTTTTACTTTTCTTTATTCAGCAAAGACTACATATTTATTAGAAACTCTGAAGAAAAACATATTTGGGCATTTATACCGGAATTGATGAAATAGGCTATTATAGTTTGACGTATTATTTCAATTAATATATATAGGTGAACTGCCATTTTCATTTAGGGACATAACAAAATGGTATTAAAGAATGGTAATGCGGGGTTTGCTGGAACTAGTTTTGTCGAAGTTTCTTCAAATTTGTTTGCAAACGCCAGCATATGGGTTGAACTCATACAAATCGTCAGCTACGTGGCCACCCCAAATGGACAAATATAAAGTATTATCAGGTGTCCTAGAGAGAACTTGGCAGAGAGTATTGTTGAATAGTAAGTTTTAGACATTTTTCGCGGTTAGCAACACATAATTGTTGTAAGCTTTTAAACAGAAACCAACACTTATCGGTAAGAATGTCTTTGTGGATTTTGTTAAAATATTTCCGTCTCCACGAAGTATGGGAAAACTGGAAACAGTGGTAAAATACGCTTTGGTAAATATAAGCAAGTTTCTTCTGCAGCCAAATGAATTTTAAAGATTCAAATTAACAAACTCCATATATAGCTAGAAGTGAAATCAGTTGGAATGTTTCGACAAGTAAAAGTAATCTGTTTTTATATAGAATCTGCCGCATCTTTGTGTAATCAATTCTGTTGATAAAACAATAACAATAACTTCTATACAAATTGTACAAACATATATGAAATTGTCACACGATATTAAACAAATTTAAAAGATTTTCTGTTTAGGTTCTTAAACCATTGGTAAACATGTGCAAGGGTTTATTATTGCTTTCCATATTTATCTATCTATGCAGGTCTAAAGTTACAAAATTTTCCACTTAAAAAATAAATAAATAAGAAATGTAAATTATCGCTACTACTTGCATCAAATACATGCATGCTACTTCCCCTTGTTTCTAGTATTTCATCATTTAGCCAAAACATTGTTATATGAATACAAGATATAAAAAGACATGGTCACAAACGTGATCCCTGAACACACTTTATCAAAAATCACCACGAATTTGAATGTTAAAACACTGGAAGGACAAACAGTCTTGAAATTGAAAAAAGCTATAGATGTTTAAACATGTTCCCAGAGATCATGAGGAGCATTTATTTAACATTTACAAGACCAAAAAAAAACAAAAAAAAACCCACCCAAAGCATGCTGATTATAGCTTGAGCTATATGTGAAGGATTGAGTAGTAATGCATTTTAATATTTAAATGGCACAAGACAGATCTTTCACATATATCTAAAAACTGAACAATATTGTATATATTTTAATTTAAAAACTGATGCTAAATGCTCATCGGAGTATTAAAAAAACATTCATGAAACATTGGATTGGTTGCACGAAAAAAGTTATCAGATTTCTTATTCCTATATTTGTCTAAGACATATACTGACGGCTGCGTGAAATCAATAGAAACAAATGTAAACTTTTAAACTCTCTAACTTATATAAGAATTAATCTATCCGAATGATTTTTGGACCAATGTGTTTTTAATAAGAGTACAATTGTTTGTTTCTCTCTAACATTTATTCAGAAATGCTGGGGCTTTACAGACTTGATTATTCATAAAATTTAATTTGACATTTAATTATCCACCGAAATTTTAGGAAGTAAAAAATCACTGCCCAGTCGAAGGGTCAAACGTAAATTTACCTTGTCTCGTTTTATCGTTTCGTTGTTTTGTAGTTTATTTGTGGTTTATCTGTACCACGCCTCGAAGATGGTGGAAATGTCGAGGGTTCTAGTATAATACGTATACAATTCTCGAGTAGTAAATAACATCTCTTGGCCAAATCTGCAAAATGTTACTACTAACTGTAAACCATACTTGTAAAATTTCACGACCAATAACTAAATATAATGTATTCTAAGGTTAAGTCTTTGAACAGTAATCCATGGGAGACAACTCTTTTGATATTGCCGCACAGACTAATGCCAATTTTATCGCCACAAATTGGCACAATATTTTGTTGATTTATTTCAAAAAAAGAAATAAAATGAAATTGGGTATGTACCGACTGTACAAATGTAGACGGACATACAGCATACATTGTTCTATGAGTGAAATTTTGCCCGGACAGTGACGCTACGACCTACTCTTCTTACTTCGAATTCCAAATGTCAGTGATTCTATTACGTGTACGCCAATGTGTACACGAGACCTCGGTTTTGCGCAACATCCGAACTCGTCCTTGTCCTGCAACACCGACAACGGTAAGCCACGCCGGAAGATCACAAGGAATTTTCTCGGCCAACATCGGGAGTGAACCAGAGTAAGCATCTTACTAACTGAGCCACCACGGCTCGTTGTAAAACAAACCTGCACTTACTTTAATATATTGGCCAGTATATTATGTCTTTAGACAGGAAAATCATAACGTCATAGCAGTGACATTGTCGCCATAAAATTGAATTTTCCATGATATCTACCCGGAACAGTTTACATTGCCAGGAGACAGATTATTGGGACTCTTAAAACACTCACCAACCAAGACAGCGTAGATATTCGTGGCTTTCGTGGTGTCCGTTTATATAATACACCAAATCCTAGCTACATCCTATATAAATAAGATAAGTAAAGTCTATATTTACACGTGTGTTGATTTCAAGTATGAACAAATATATACAATAACTATAAATGCCAATTATATATTTATTCATTTAAAAAGGTGTGTCGGGGGTTCATAAAGAACAAAATTGAAAGCTATATGACGTCACAATATAGGACAAGCGGAGCCTATAAAGATATCAGATGGCATGGAAGGTGTATTTGGAAATATTCCATGCAAACAAATACCTTTACTATAGGTTACAAATACGTCACTTTATCTTAACAACAAATACTTCTTTAAAGTGGCAGGGTATATCTTATTTTGAGCAATTAATGTGGGGTTTATAGGGTGGCAGTTTGTGGCATTCAAGTTGCGACAATAATGTCTATCCATTCTGTTAGCCACCCTCAAGATTCATAACTTACAACCATAGACTTCGACATTTTAGACATAAATAAATTTCATCCTGCATTCAAAATACTCCAATGGTGACGGACATTAATTTTATGCCCACTATTTTGTTTTATTTATCTGAAATATTGGCTTATCTGCCGGTTCTTCTAAAAGAAAAATAATATTTCTGACCGACACATTTACAACAGACACATTTACAACATTTATAAAATCAAATAAGCTAGTCAAGAAATATAAACTATATATACTAAATCCCATGGCCTCACTTTAACATAGGGAGTCGCAACAATTACACAATAGCGTATACTACACCCAGATAGTTCATCGCCTTTTTGTTCACATATTGTAATTTTAAATAGAACTGAACGCCGGGATGTACATGTGAGGATAACAACGATTTAATACAGGTTTGTTATAATTACTTTTCATTTATAGATTAGCTTATCATTTATCAGTATTTAAATTACTTTACTTTGAAGATAATAAATCTTATATATCTAAATATTATATTTACCCTTCTTACATTATTGGACTTAAAATAATAATATACACAACCTAAAAAAACTTTCACATGAAAATGCAAGTAAAAAAATGTTACTTTTATTGCTTGTATTTTCATTACATTTCCTAAAACAAGATAACAAACAAGAAACACGATCTTTAATGACTGCAAATGCAATTAAAATGGTGTTTTTCTGAAACTAAGTCTACAAATAATTAAAATTTCATCCAAACATTTTGTTGATCTAGCTACCGTTTTATCAGTCACTTGTTCCGTTTTAAATCTGATTGAAATCATCGCAATTGATTAAAATGTCATCATGGCCACTTGTGTACATAAAAATGTCGCTTCAAAAATATAAAACGCATTACCACAAACAGGTGACTATTTTAATGATTCATACATGTATACTTCATTGTTTTTCATAAAAGCATTTATTTCAATACAAATTATAATGATTTGTGATGAAAATTATTCGATTGAGTCTATTTTTATTGCGGAAAGCGTCAACGAATGTACCAATTGTCGGGGAGACACGAGTCGAATTCTAATATTGCTGATAGAACGGGGCATACTGATCAGCAGTGAATATTTGCTAGGCCACGACATCGATACGACTTAATGAGCCACAAATATTAACTTTTTTCCTCCGACAAATTAAATTCTAAAACATTTTTTTTTTATGTATTAGAAAAATAGATACAGACGTTAGACCTATTTGTAGGTAAAAATTATTTCCTATTTAGTGTAAATGGGTATTAAAATGAGTAAAAGACTCCATTCTGCCCGAATCAGTGAGGGCTTATGTAAACAATGCACGCTTCATTGGGTCAATGATTGACTGACGTGAAACGTCACGTGTTGAAGCCAGTCATCTTTTACAGAGATATTAGAGGACTTTCGTAATCCTCTGTGAAACAGATTGAGAACGGGGCTCAAGGTTTTAGTTGAAAAGCTGAAACCCATCTTCCACTATTATTTATTATATGATTTGACCTTTATACATCCAAACAATATACTGGTATAGACAATCTACATAATACATGAACCATGATATGTTTGTAAAGTATACAGTTTCTGGTTGACCTTTATTATCATCTATGGATCCCATTGCCAAGTCTGTAATAAATAATAGTACAGCTTATTCGGTGATTATCAGAACACAGGCACTGAGAAAAAGGAAAATGAGAGATATGATATATTTGTATTTGAATAATTCGCTTTCGCAGTGTGAAGAAACCGGTAGATCATACTCTTTATTACGAAACAACCCCACCTGGCTCAATGATATTATCTAAGGAGCATGCGTAAGACCACTCGGCCACTGATCGCTAATCCAGTTATAAGACTCAAATCAACCCGGTAGATAAAAATGGAATACAATGGTGTTCAAAGAGGCATCGTTTCTTTCATCAAGAAACTAGATGTAATAACATTTCGACAACCATTTTACCAAGCAATAATCTTCTATGCGGTAACATATTTTTCATTTGCGTGTGTAAAACTACTTAAAAACCGAAAAAAAAGAAAACACATATGTATCGCGACGATGGTTGAGCAGAGTTGTCTAAGATTTTACGTACACACTACTTTGAAAATTGAAATATTTGTTTGTCCGCCTCCTTTCGAAGAAAACAGGGGATTGTTAAAATGGGCACGTCTGGTGACATGCGTCCATTTGCCTGTCTGTCTATCCGTCACACCTTTTGAGACACATTGGGGGAGAATGTTCAGATGGTGTAGATGTTGATGTTCGTTAGGCAAATGTCTTGACTGAGTTCGATGATGAACATTTTCTGCACAGGCTAACCAGCTGCATGTCTGTCCGTTCATCACACTTTAGAAGCACAATAACTATATGCTAATAATTGAGGTGAAACGTTCTAAGTTGGTGGAGATGTTAAGGCAAGGCGGAGATAAGCAACAGGTTTGAATTTTGTCAACGCATATTTGGATAAAAATTCAGCGCGTTTCTTTAAATAAAGGAAAGGAAAACACGCCAACAATGATACATTAATTAATTGCACTTTTTTAAAGCATTGAACTATACCAAGTTTCTCCACTCTCACCCAATTAGCTCAAAGTTATCGAGCCCCAAAGTCTCGACAAATCAAATTGCTTATCACTCTGCTTAGCCTAAGCCGAAAATGCCCATCATCGAACTCAGTCAAGGATAATACAACAACACTAAGTTTAAATATTGTAGCACAATTGGAAAGAGAGTTATTATGTAAGACTGGGGATTAAAAAAAAAAAATCGACGTATCGTGAGGATGAGACGCCAAACTTTTATTTAGTTTACGTATAAAATAAATGTCACAAATAATGACTTAAACATGTATCTACAAATAATCTCCCTACTTCACATGTTGAACATAATGAATGAAGTTGTCTGAGTAGACAGACTTACACTGGTTTTTAGTTCATGTCACGCACAATAATAATATGTTATGGCCAAAAGAAAATAAGATCAGGTTAGCTCTGTGGATATATTCAACGGAAAGAATCGGAATTAATATTTTTTTGAAGACTGATCGATACGAAATGCATTAACTCTTGCTATTCCCTGCCAGGTAGTCTTGAACACTACAAGTACCCCAGTCGACTAGACACTAGAACAGACGCCAAATCGAGTTCTCGTGTTATATGCAGAGAAATGGGGTTTAACGTCTGTTCAACACTTTACCTTGAAATCTCGAGACTAACACACGTTTATATTTATTTATTGTGGTTAACCTGAAAGGGACGTCCCCATGTACTCTTTTAGAAATCCATCTGTCCTGGATTATTTAGTACACATCAAGTAGGCCTACACGGTTGAACGTCTTGTTTTCATATCACCCGAATGACTATGCATACTTCCACTATCTAGCCTCGCACGACATGTGGGTAGGAATTGGAGTGTGCCTCGTCTCGTAACCACACAAGAAAGTGTTTTTAGAAGATGTGAAATGCAGTACCACTTCCAGTTTTAAAATGATCAATTCAAATAAAAGTGTATAATATATTTCTAACTGGTTCCAAAACTTCGCCCGTTAGTCATTCTGGAGTGCAAATGTCCCTGTCCATGCAGAAAAAAAAGAAAACAAGACTTTAATTATCTGAGTAGTTATAGGCTTATTTCTGTATACATATAATGATTGATAATATATGGTTATTAATAGATAATTTGTTTATTATAGTGATTGCTTTATTACCGACATTCTATTTTCATCATCCCTTTACTCTATATATTTACTACGGAAGCACAGTCGTCAGAAGATCGTTAGGATGCAGTTGGTTCACGAAGAAAAATCTTATACAGAAACCCAGTGATATTTTTTTAATGAACTCGACTAATGAAAATGGATATACGCCAAGTGTGCTATGAGACAATGACGTTTTCAACTACTCTTTATTGAATTCATGGGTTGTTTTGCGAGCTCGACAAAAAGCATAGACGAGATAAAACCTGGATGGAAAATCCCGAGTAATTTTCTCGGCCAACACCGGGATCGAACCGGCTTAGAAGAAAGTTGGCGGCAAACTCACTGAGCCACCGTGGGCCTATTACTACTTTTAGTGCGTTTTATTATGACCACATATAGATATTTTTTCTTAAAAAAAAACAAGGGTATCACAAAATCATCTTCCTATTAAAGTGTAAAAAGTTACTCAGAGGACACAACTACACAATTAAAATTTGAAGCACAAGTCAAGGAAGGTCATAGTAGCCAGTGATATTGTCCCACATACTATCATCTTCGTTACTCTCGCCAGTTCGCCCATCTGTCGGCTTTCAATTTCTTTTAATCGCTCTGTAAGCCAGGTTGTCCGTATTGACTTAATCAATCAAAATATTACCTGCAACCCCTCTAAGACCGATTTAAATTATAAGAAATTAAAGAATTGTGTGACCCACTCCACCTTTTCGGAAGTTCTGGATAATTATGCCATACTGTTACCTAATAGCCTATAATTATGGTGATATATTGAACAGAAAACGCTCATGTATGTTGTTTTTAGCTTCCAAGAAAATCTTATAAAATAAAAACAACTTAATGTCAGTATTTTACTGAACAGAGTTAGTCTATAATTATATGTCTATTCATTTACACCATATAGATGGTCATACTCCCCACAATGTTTCGTTTCTCGGGCCATTAATTGCTTCAGGAATACCATAGATGGTATGTGCACTTTAAATATTAAAAAAAAAAAAAAAAATTCTGCCAGACGTTTATCACAGGGATGGGGGTTGGGGGTGGGGGTGGTGGGGGTGGGGGGGCAGTTTGTAACGAACCCGAAAAACTAAATACACTTTTTTTTTCTTATATCAAACTCTTAAGTCGCCAACACTGCAAGACTCTAATGAAACCTCGTTGTTTGCCTATTTGGTTACCCCTATTTGTACAGAACCTGCCGAGATGACAGTCGAGAATTTATCTTGTTTAATTATCAGTATTGCATTGTATAGTAGTTTACTTGCTTAATTACCAAGGTTTATATGGCTTATTTTGTAACATATGTAATACTGCGTTAATATTTATATTATCTACTTTCTTTGTACGAAGATATGTACTATGACTTGTAACATTATTAAACGACAATTTTCAAGTCTAAAACTCGTAATTACGGTAAACACGACATGAATCGAAAGCAGCACAAAAGAAATATGTTATCGTGTCAAACCGGGTACCGGGTTGAAAATTCATTCTGCTTAAGCCAGGCTGAAGAAAAGAATAGAGTCTTCATCGCGACACAAAATCACGTGGCGCATTTTATAATCCAAACGGATGATCATTATACTACGTTTATTCTAAACGTAGATATTATACAAAATGAAAATAATTACCATAGCGCGTTTCATTCGAAGGTTTAATCAGTGTTAGCTACAACAATCTTGTTTACAGTGTGTGAGTCTTTACACTGCCATCGGAAGCAGCGTCGACTCGCTATTCGATCCGGTGATTCATCGATTTTCTCAAGTATGTGAGTCAATCTCAACATACAAAATATTACAATTCTGGTGAAGTAAATTTGCCGGCGGATTGAATTTGCTGATTTTAATAAGCACAGTTTGAAGTTTGAACATCAGTTTTTGTAATACATATATAACAGGTAAGTGTATGTTATAGTTTATTTATATGAGTATTATACTGAGTTCATTAGTGGATAAGTAACGGGAATAGAAGCGGTGGTTATATTTGTATTTCCTATTCTTCTTGTGGTTTCTCTTTAAAACAGCTGATCTTGGCTTCATTTTTGTCTTAAACTGTCGAACAGAAAATCTGTTACATCTCAATAATGTCTCAATCTGCGGTCCTAATAATATTAAATGTAAATAATCCAACTCGTCAAATCTAATTAAACTGACAGTTTCATTGTTGTCACAATTGGAAGAGGCCGTGTCCTTTTAAATATTTTAAATGTATATAGTATCTTGTACTCCGTAAGGGGCATTATGTCCTGCTGTTGAGTCACGTGGGCCGGTTGGTCGGAATTCAGGTTTTGTTTGTTCCATGTTTTACTGAGCAGTTAACACTGAATTGTCTGTATGCCACACCATTTCTCTTAAACAGTAGATCTTTAAAACCACACAAATAAAATATTTATCACCACGAATGTTAGTTTGAAAGAAATGTTGGATGTGAAAGAGGGGGAAACTGACTTAGCATGGCAATTAAACCTAACATGATATAAAGCCAGTTGCACACTTAATGTTTATACCAGTCAGTATTAGGTTTTATTTATACCAATATATTATAACTTACAATTTTGAGACAAACAATGCATACAAAGAGTCAGGTAACAAAAACGATGAAGCAAGAGCTTTTACACGGCCAGGAAAGTTGGCTCACTAACCTGAGGGTGCCTGCATTTGCCAAAAAAGTCCATCTCTATTTTCCGGCGTGGTTCCCCCTTGTCAGTGGAGCTGGACGGAGGGCCTGGCAAGGGACATTGTATAGTCGTTTAGATAGGACGAAAAACCGAGGTCCCTTGTACACGTTGGCGTGCACATAAGGGTAGGCAGTAGCGCCGTTGTCCGGAGAAAATGTCCCTCATAGCACACTGCATGGCGTATATCCGGACAAAATTTCCCCCATAGCGCACTGCATGTATGCCCGTCTTCATTAGCCAAGTCAGTGCAGAAAAGTAGGACGTTAAACACCATTTCAGTTCATTTCATAATTTTACATGGCCTTCACTGAACGATCAATGGTTGTAACTTTACTATATAAACAGGATATAGCAATTAATGGGTTCCTCTAGGGAGTTACGTGGTGTACTGTTACATGCTGTAAAGATGACAATAACTTAATATAAACAGAATATCGTCCAGACGTATTCAATTCATTTAGTTTCGATAATCGATATATTGATGTAAAGTGTAAACATGAGTGTTATTGAGCGGGTAATCTAATCACCGGGTTATATCAGTACACCGGGCCTGTGTTTCCGGTGCCGTGGTTGGTTCTTTGGATATGTGACTTGATATAATCAAGTCTTACGCACAAACCAGGTTTTGACATAATCCAGTCTGATCAGTACTATACTAGTATTAATCTGTCATCAACATTCATTAATAAATGAAAGCAACCATTTAACTACGATATTTGATACCATTTCCCAGATTTTAACTACAAGAATTTCCATTTATTAAAGGAAGTCTGGTTTTGATTATGGTATATGACTATAATAGGTTGTATTTAATAATGGACCCTAATGGCTCCAGTGGCTAAGGTGTGTTGACAGCAATCTCATTAACTTGACAGCAGTAGAGATCCTTCTGAATCTCGAATTTATGTATTAAATTTATCTGTTTGGTTGTTCCTGATTTGATAAGGTAACTATTTTATCACAGCTCGGATTTGATTTAATTTTGTTTAATTTTTGCTCCTTATTGTCTTTACGAAGCACTCTGCTGAGACTTTTTCAAAAACCAAACTGACAATTCTTAGTATAAATCAGGCTTATCAGACTAGAATGGCCGTGTTCGTGTTTAGACTAGAATGGCCGGGTTCGCGTGACCGGACCAGATTTATAAATAGGAACTAGAAAAGTGATCCACTGACTTATTTTTAATATATTTTAATCATTTAATAAAAGAAGACGGATTGAATGTAAGATAAGGAAGGTAACAAAGAGTGATTGATATTATGTACATATGTCATTTTATCACACCCTTATTAAATTTTAATGACTTTATCTATCGATTTATATAATAACTCAGTGCCGGATTAACCTTGTGGGGGGCCCGGGACATACCAACTGTGCGGGGGCCCCATTGTTGTTTGTTCAAATTGTTCATACTCACCGCGGATCGTACTAGTATGTACTCCGCCCCCTTGAGTGCCTGGGGTGTTTTCTTCCTTGCAGGATTTTTTTTAAAAATTAGGATTAATTTCAGTGCATCTGAGTCAATTTAGGCAGCGATTTCATTGACGTTTATTCACTCTACTTACACCTTCGGTCCATAAGGGGGACAGACAATGAGCAGAAAATGTGATTTCCATAATACCAAGGCAATGTGAAGGATATTTTGGCCATTTCCATGTATTTTTTGACGATACGCGCGAAACTATTAACAGTTAAGAGAATTCAAACAATTTTCTGACTAATCATAGGTCAAATCAAGACATAAAATCCCAAACAAAAGACAAGGAGAAAAAAGACGTAAAATTTAGGCAGGAAACATGTTCAGATTATACATTTGTCTGAACTACTATACTATGATTTCGCGGGGCTGGTTGGGCCCCAGCAATCACATCGCGGGATGGGGTCCCCGGAACTAGTTAGGACCTATTGATTAGTAGAACCTCTAAGTTATGTAATTTAGTTAATTTTAGGGCCTAACCGATCTCCGGGCCCCCGAAAATCTGTTGGTACCTACCAGTTCCGGGGCCCCCAATATCCCTTACTGATTAGGGCCCAATCCTCGCCCCTTAGCCCAGGTACTGGTTGGCTCCGTCCGGGATAATATATTAGTATGACCCAGAATAATTTATTGTGGGGGGGGGGCCCTAAATGTGGGGGGGGGGGGCGGGACATTTGTCCCACTCCCCTCCCCCCTAGATCTGGTACTGTAATAACTTATAGTTATATTAGTATTATACTGTAATTAATAATGTAGTAAATATGTTGACGTTTATGTCAATGTCTTCATAATTTTATATACCATTCTCAGATTCATGTAATCCCTACCGATTATTTATCATTTTAAAAATCGGTCAAGCAATCCATCGCCCTGTAGCTATCATGTCACTTACCTTGGGTTCGACACGGGTCGTTATGCAACCAGTAGATTCCTGTGCCTTTTAGATTAGTTTGGTTGGTTGACAGAATAGGCAGTATGACGTAAGTCATACCTTTCAAAAAATGAAATTGTCGGCATTCGAGAGAATTCCCGTTCATCCGCCCTGAGACACTCGTCTGGTACCATTGACTGTTTTAGCCCGTAACAAATTACGTTTAAAATATCTAAATAGAAATAGTTGTCCATTTCCAAGTATGGCTGTGATTGGTCCGATGAGATTGTTTTGTATGTCGGTAACAACTTGCATTTACTATAAACTTCTGTAGTCGGCTAACACAGCGAAGGTGTCAGGCGTATATTTAAAGGGCGTAAAACTCTAACTCAATATTATTCAGAATTTTCTACATTACAAATACGAATTATAGTCCTTTACAATCAATATTGATATTGTTATCTGACATATGGGCTCCTGATATTCAATATTTAAGATACAGTGAACAACCTTAAAACTGGTACGCGCCAACGTATAGGCTACTCCTTGCTCTGGAGCACAATTTGTAATGCGACGTCTTGGTGAATGAGGCTAAACATGAGTGCGAAAGTGAAGGGTTAAGCCGTGCTTCCGATGTAGACTGGACTAACCTCCAGCACAACCTACTAGTCTTCAACTGAGCGGTGATAATTCCTCTGATGGAAATTATTACCTCTACAACGGCTTTATATCTTTCCAAGCTAAATCAGATTGCATCTTACATACAATACTTAGACTTTGTTTCCATTATCCATTTGGCTATAATCTACTTGTCACTTATTTATTCCCTGACTTTAAGCATAATGTAGGATACTATTAAAATATAATACTAGTATTTGATGTTTGATAATATAAATAAAGTTAATAACTTAGACAATTAGATAAAGATATGATATATTAATAAATATATATTATATATAATTACTACAGGTCAATGAGAAATAAGACCTAACACAGTATTTGTAATCCGCGAAGCCTGTGTTTAGAAACAGCTATGAAAATAAATTATACGTATTGACAAAAGCGTATTTTACACATCAATTCACCAATGCTCCTCGAATGCAACTTTTACGCCCTTGAATAATTGCCTAGATGCGTATATTTTTTGTTTTCTTATTTATGAAATGCTGTTTTATTATTTAATATCGATTGAAATGCATGGTTTCATACACTGTTATAAAACCTATAAAGTCCGAATCTTCAGACTTATTTCCTGGACGACGAAAGCTGTATGTCAAAAAAATTAAGCACTGTTGTGGGATTTCCGATCTTTCAAAGGATTTCTGGGAACAAAGAATCGAGGTCACCACAGCTCGGGAAAAATTCTTCTCAGAGAAAAAAATAACTGCACGATAATCTCAAATTGGCCAAATACTGTGTTGACGAGGCGTTAATTCCCATTCCTATATCTTACTTATCCCCCCACCCCCTTTGGTTACGTTTGGTTAGTGGTTATGACTGACACTTTTTTAACACTGATCTACTCTTAACCTAATTGGGGGGTTGGATGGCTGAATGGTTAGCACGTGTGCGCTGTATCATAAAGCCTGTCATTGAGTCAACTGTGGTTTCGATTCCCCGGTTGTACGTGACAAGGAGTAGGGTCGCCTGTCCAACCTTGTGGGTTTTCTCCGGGTCCTCCGGTTTCCTCCCACTGCTAAAGACCCCTACGCGCAAGCGAATTATTGAAATAAAATTAAACCATATGTTAGTCCCGAAATGACCTAGTTTGTGTCGAGTGGACGTTAAACCCAATTTCTCTCTCTCTCTTAACCTAATTATATACTTGAAATATTTTTATAATCTGTTTATGATTAGTGAGTAAACATATAA